ATAATACAGCATCAAATTTTGATGTTCAAAATCATCTGTATGCTGTTTTCAATTCATTTCCTTGCATCGTGGTTTATGTAATGCTTGCTTTCAAGTGTTTTACTACAAATGTTGCCAGCATTATATCTGAAGAATTGCAGATAATGAAAATGAAATTTGTTGTCAAATCATCTTATCATTAATCCTATAATTTGTAATCAAATTATCCCTATGATAGGACTTTTATTATTGTGAACACCTAGGCCTCTACCGTTACCCTCCAAAGTAACCAACATGTCATTTTAACTTAATTTTAAGTCACTGAATCATGAATTTCGGGAAATAACTAAATTTCATATGGTACTGTGCTAGGCCTAATTGATCAACTATGTTACAGTATGTTGAACAAATACACTTCCATTTTATAAAAACCTTTTCCGTCGTTAGAATAAAATCAAGGCTATGGGAGGGGTTACCTCTTGGCACAACCATGTTGGCCTAGGCCTATATAATCCTGCATTCATTGGAGTAAATTATAGAACTAAAATAAGAATGACCTTAGTAAGTCACAGAAAATGGATTGTTTTCTTTTCAAATGCCTTGATTGCAGTATCACTGATTATTGATATTCTATGCCATAATAAATTTAATGTAGATTAACTTAAAAATAAAGAGATATGCAAGCTGCAACTAAAATAATGTAAGTAACTTCGCTTAAAACATACCTATTTTAAATTATAATGCTGCTTTTGCTTCGAATAATGTAGTTTAGAAAATAAATGTGAAATCCCATGTGATATTTCTCCCAGGAATTGTGAACATTAAGCTAAAATATGTGCATAATACAAATCACAGAATAAAAAAGAATGAATTCTCAGATTGATGTATGCATCAGATTTCTAAGTTTTCTCTGAATCAAACATCTCAAAGACAAAATATCATTCCACTTGTTGTGCCATGTTGTTAAAGTAAAAGTTGAATAACCTTTTCATTACAATAATTATTTTCATTCATTTTCAATCCCCATAAACCATTTTATAAAGTAATTTTCCCCTGGTAGGTCTGCCTAAATCTCTATGTAGGCCTATGTCAGAGTTTAATAATAAGAGGTTACCCACAGCTTCTCACAAACTGAAATCAGATTATGAAAGGCCTATGTAAGGCAGATTACATTCATTATAAATGTGATTTCCTTTGGGAACAATACAACTTTTACTAGAGGAGTTCTTGTTAAAATTCATGACTTGGCTACTGATAGATCTTGTATTACAATAGATGAAAAATGTAGCAATTGGCAGAAAATAAGTTGATTTGTGATACATTTTCAAATTGAACCGGTACTTGTCGACATTAGCCTGTATTACTATTAAGTTTTATTTATTTATCATGAACTAACAGTTTTCAAGGATTGATTGACAGCCTATTCCGAAAGGAATATGTTTATATATGGGAATACACACTGTCTCTCCTGATAGTAAGTTATATTGGGCCTAGGAGTGCTATCTTCTTTTGCCATGTATTGCATACTTTGGTTTGTATGTGATATCAGGATATATATTAAATGATGAATACTTCACATTCAGAAATAATCTTCATTCAAAAATTCCTTATTTATCAAAATATTGCATAAAATTGCCAATGAAAAAGTATATCATGAAACCCTTTTTTCATATTTCACCATATGACTTACACGAACGTATGTAT